ATTATTTGAGTAGTAATTTGCAGTGCATATTAGTCTCTTGTTCAATAGTTTGTTGAACTTAGTTTCATGATATTAATTGCATTCTCCTCTGGGTAATATTACTCTTCCCAGTTCATCTGTGGGTTCTCAATTTTTTGCGCATCTTCCTGCCCTTTAAAAAAAAAATCTTGTGCATTTTCCTGCTCTTTAAAAGAAAAATCTTCCTGCCTGTTAAAGTTTCATTTTGAGCAAATGGTGCTTCACACGTTTTGCTCTTTACTTTTTTCCCTTTTTAAAATTAATTTTAATTAAAGTTTAAAAAGATTTAGGGTTTCCATTCATTCATTGTTACACTTTTCTCTCTGCCCATCCTCTCCCCTCCAATTCATTCTTCTTGAAAAGTAACAGAAAAACTCTCGTTGTTATGCAATCCCTCCTCCCAAGTCCATTCCACTGTGCAGCCTTCATTCTGGACTCCTGTGATGACAATAATACCCAGTCATATATCCCTTCTGAACAGTTCTCTCCCTCATCTGTTTCAATGCAGTATACGTCATTCATCCCCTCCTTTTCTGTCTTCCCTCAACCTTAATGTCAGTCCCGTTTTACAACAGTGGCACTATGCAATATTTGTCCTTTTGTGCTGAAGTATGTCACTCAGCATAATGTCCTCCAGGGTCACCCATTTTGTATAATATTTCATGAGTTCCTTGTTTTTCATTGCTGCATAGTATTACATTGTGTAACAGCTTCTCTATTGATTTGTTTGTTGATGGACACTATGGTGGTTTTCAGTTCTTTGCTATTGTGAACAAAGCCGCAATAAACGAGTGCATATATCTGCTTGGGTGGCATTTGTGGTTTCTTTGGGGTAAATTCCCAGTAGTGGAATTGCTGGGTCAAATGGTATTTCTGTTTGCAGCTTTTTTTTTTAAATTTAGGTTATTTATTTTTCATTTCAATGAACATCTACAGAGATTTTGGAATTCCATTCATTCATTGTTGCACCCCTCTCCCCGCACAAACCTCCCCCCCCTTTGATCCTCTCCTTGAAAAGCAAAAGGAAAACTCCCTCATTGGTACACAATCCCCCCGCACAAACCCCACCCCCTCCCCCAAATATAATCCACTCTGCAACCCTCATTGCATACTCCTACGATCTCTCCCCCATAGACTTCAATGCCGTAAACATATTTCATCCAGTTTTTCTCAGTCTTACCCCCACCCCAATGCCAGCCTCATTCTACAACAGTGGCACCATATAGCATTTGTTATAGCATTTGTCCCTTTGTGACTGAGATACCTCACTCAGCATAATGCCCTCCAGGGTCACCCATTTTGAATAATATTGCATGAGTTCCTTGTTCTTCAATGCAGCATAGTATTCCATTGTGCGAATATACCACAGCTTCTCTACCCATTCGTTTGTTGATGGGCATTTAGGTTGTTTCCAACTCCTTGCTATTGTAAACAAAGCTTTTAGAGAAAGCGCTGTTTTACACTCCCACAAACAGTAAATAAGGGTTCCAGTTTCTCCACAGCCTCACCAGCATTTGATGTTTGCTGTTCTGTTAAATTTTGCTATTCTTAACTGGGGTGAGGTGATATCTCCTAGTTGTTTTGATTACTCTTCACTTTTGAGGCCTTTCTGTTACTGATATGGGAGCTCTGGGAGTGGGTTCCCCTCCAGGTTTTCAGTGTCTGAGAGCTACAGGATACTACCACTTCCACCCGTCTCTTATCAGACTGATGTAGTTTGCCTGGTTTTCCCCCAAGATTTTCAACTTTGTCTTACAATTTTCTCCTACTTTGTCTAGGACTTTGTATTGTGATTGTCATTAAAGCAGTAGATAATAGTAGCTAGGCACCATCTAGATCTTTGTTCTGATGACAACCATAGTTTATTATGGTTATATGTCATTAGATTGTAATCAGCTTCAGAGGTTGTATGTAAATCACCTGAGAGACTGCCCATCTTTCTCTTTGTATCAGCTGGTGTATTTGAACTGCCTGCCTTTTGTTTGGTACACATCAGGCCACCAACGTTCCATACCATAGTTCAATACCCACTAGGTCACAAGAGTGCTGTAGCTCATTACCCTTGGAATAAGTTTGTTTTTTGAGTATTTCCTTCACTTTTCTTTGTACAAGAAGAGATCATTAGCGGTATGTTGACTATGTCTATTTTTCTTTGCTCTGGACAAGAATAGAGCATACTTGTATGTCCACTATTCTTTGTTCTGGACAAGAAGCGAGCATAGTTGCATGACCAGAATCCAGTTCCTACTCCCTAAAGTAGTCTATATGGATGATGTTATGTCAATTGACAGAGGTCCTCGAACAAGAAGTTTACATATCTTTAAACCATGTATGCTCTACTATTTATTGTTGCTGTTGTTAGGTGCTATCAAGTCAATCATACTGACCTTGAGAACAACAGATATGAACCTTGTCCTATACTGTGTCATCCTTAACTATCCCTGACAAGTTCGAGCCCATTGTTAGTCACTGTCATTCACTCCTAGTGAGTCTTCCTCTCTTGTTGACTATGCACTTTTCTCACCATGCCTTTCCCCAAGGACTTGTCTCTCCTAACATGCCCAATGTATGTGAGATGAAGTTTCACCATCCTTGTCTCCAAGAAGTACCTTGGTTGCACTTTCTCCAAGACAGACTTGTTTGTTCTTTTGGCCGTCCATGGGATCACCATTGCTCTTTTCCATCATCACAACTCAAAGGCATTAATGATTCTTCTGGCATCCTTATACATTGTCCAACTTTCAGATGCACCGGAAGTAATTGAAAAGACCATGGTTCAGGTTCACCTTAGTCTTCAAACTGACATCTTTACTCTTTAGAACTTTGAAAAAGTCCTTGACAAATTTTGCCAATGCACCATGTCTTTATTATTATTATTATTATTA